CCCCCGCCCGCTCGCCTCCCACAACCGAAGCGCGCCCCCCTCTCGCCGCGCGCCCCCGCCCGCCCCGTCGGATCCAGCGTCCAGCCCCCCTTGCACCGCCGCCGGATCCAGCCAACTGTTTTTCATCTTGGGTACTTCAACTGCTGCTGGGTAAGAAAATTTCCTGATCAATTTTTATCATTGTTGTCTTAGTTTGACTGGGATTCTCATGGAAATGCTTACTCTGTGTTCTTCAATTATTCTATCTTTCCTTGTCCATGGGAATGTGATTGGGAATTGATTTTACAAGTTTACTGATCAAAAACTCGTCCCTCCGTTAATTAATCATCTGCCTCAGTTTGCTCTACTTGTTCTCAATTGTTGTTGGCAGCATTTTCTGTTTTAATTCATTTAGATCATTAGTTATAGTTTATGATCTGTGAATTGGAGAGCAGATTTTGGTATAAATCAAGGGTTTTATTACCTTCTGTTGGGTAAAAATCAATCCGGAATTGTATACCATTTTTCGAGCTTAGAAAGAATTGGAGAGCAGATTTTGGTTCGTTTATGATCTGTGATGCTACTTTTATAGCACAGAACTGAGGAGCACGAATCTCTTTAGGAATTCTTGTTTGATGAACTAATTCCACACGGATTGGTGTTGGTGAGGAATTAGAATTGGAGCGATGCAATATAATTTTACTCATAATCTTATTTTTAACAGGTAAGCTTAATTGGATAGAATATGACTTCGAAGAGAAAAAGAGTTTTATTACCTTTCTTTCGCAGACCACGTTATCTGAATCAAATAAGTAAACAGGATGTATGCATGCTAATTCTCATAAGTTGTTACAAGTTAAGCCCTTGTTTTATACTCACAAGAGAAGTTGATAATTTGTTATACAACATTATGATCTTAAAAAATTGTTATGTGATCTTTTATGCCTCTTTCTAAGCATGACGTGTGTGTAGTCACGTGATCAGATAGCATGAGTTTGTCCTTTTTCAAGTCTATTTTAAGTCAATTTGTAAGACAAATTTTATTCTTTAACTAACTAATTAAATATTTTGGACTTTGATTATACTAAATCGCAGACTCATTATTCGAACGCCTCCATCCTCAACTCCAACCACCGTCGGCATCCTCCACCTCATTGAAAGGTTTGTCTTCACATATTTCTAGTTTTTTGTTTTTTAATATTATAAACTTATTAAGTCAATTTTAAGTCAATTTGAAAGACAATTTTTATTCTTTACCTAACTAATTAAATATTTTGGACTTTGATTATACTAAATCGCAGACTCATTATTCGAACGCCTCCATCCTCAACTCCAACCACCGTCGGCATCCTCCACCTCATTGAAAGGTTTGTCTTCACATATTTCTAGTTTTTTGTTTTTTAATATTATAAACTTATTATGCAATTTAATGTTGTTAGTTGATCATAATCATGCAAATGTAGTTATCCTAAACCTAAATGACCTATTTTTAACTCTACTTTCACAAAAATCTAATATTACCCTAATCATAACCTTAATATCGTAATAATCCAACAATAACCAATACTATTCATGCCTTACTAAAACTGAACTTAAATGCTACTCTAATGCCAATTATACTTAGTGTGATATATAACACAAAAAATATGTTATATATCCATTATAGGTGAATAAAAAATTAGTTAACGACAACCGTAGATCCCCGTCCAATAATTACTACCAATTTTTTTGGAGTTATAAAATAAGATAGACGACTCAAATTTCGGTATGAAATTTAATTCTATACCGAAATTGATCGTTTACCTTATATTATAAGTAGAAATAATTGGTACGTAACTATTGGATCTGTCCAGTTCGGACGGGTTAGGAATATAGTAGTGCACACATCTAACTTTGTATACTTTGTGCATTTTTATTTCTAGAAAATTTTGGTCGCACGTACTCGTTGTTCTCCGTGTACAATAAGCGTATGTTGTTATGCGTTTCGGTTTATTATTTATCGATTTTGATCTATTATCGATACGTATAATAACATCCGCACAGTGTACTCGGAGAACAGCGGGTAGGTGCTGCCGAAATTTTCTAGAAATAAAAATGCACAAAGTATTCAAAGTTAGATGTAAGCATTACTATATTCTTAATGGGATAGAAGCCTTCCTATGACAGCCGAGAAAGTTTTAGACTAACCTATTGTTTGTTCAAATGTAGACAATGAAGTTTATTACGTAGAGAGTGTTTAGTCCAATTTACTACAACAATGATTATTACATAGACCAATTTAGTCCGATTTAGTAAAACGTTTTATGAGATATTAAGATAATTAATAATTATACTTAATATACAGATGAGAGAAGTTCCTGACAAGTCGTGGATTGATATACCTATTATGAAAAGAAGAGAGGGTGGTGACACTCGATATCGTGAAGGATGGGAAGCGTTCCTTGAGTATGCGTATGCGAATCCGAGGAAGTTAGAAAATGATTTGCTGTTTTGTCCATGTAGTTTTTGCAGAAATAGGGGTTTGGTGGATAGAGTTACTATACAAAAACACTTAGAAAGATGGGGATTTGATGAAAAATACAAATATTGGAGATTTCACGGAGAAGATGACGATATTGAACCAGCTGACGGAAATATAAATCTAAGAATAGACGATACACATGCAATGTTCAATGATATTGCCGCAGTTACAGAAGTTGCAGAATTTCCGGAGGTTCTTGAAGTTCCCGAAGATGCAGAAGGTGTCGAAAATGTTGATGATGTGCGTGATACCGATAGCTTTAAAAGTTTAATGAAGTTATTAGAAGATGACGAAAAGGATTTGTATGCCGGTTGCTCAGAGTATAGTAGATTGTCGTTTATTCTTCAACTGATGCGTATTAAGACCCTCAGCGGAATGGCAGATAAATATTTTCAAATGCTTCTTAATTTACTACGCAAGGTAATTCCGGATGGAGAGAATAGCATACCAGAAAAATGTTATGATGCAAATAAGATCGTTGGCGCTCTCGGTTTAGATTACACAAAAATCCATGCGTGTCCTAATGATTGTATCCTGTATTATAAGGATAATGAGAAGCTTGAAGAATGTCCAAAGTGTGGAGTGTCTCGTTGGAGAAAGAATACACGCACTTCAACACGAAAGGCAGATGAGCCTGTTAAGCAGCCGAAGAAAATTCCAGCGAAGGTGCTCCGACATTTTCCCTTAGTACCGCGTTTACAGAGGTTGTATATGACAAAAGACACAGCTAAAAACATGCGGTGGCATAAGGAAGGACGCGTAGTTGATGGTAAACTCAGGCATCCGGCAGATGCAGATGCATGGGAGCATGTTGATCAATCTTTTCCTTGGTTTTCCACAGAGTGCAGGAATGTTAGACTCGGTCTATCTAGTGACGGATTCAACCCGTTTGGCATTATGAGTTCAGGTTGGTCTACTTGGCCCATTGTGTTAATACCTTATAATTTACCACCTGGACTTTGTATGAAGCAACCGTATATGATCCTTTCATTGCTGATACCAGGCAAACACTCACCCGGTAATGACATAGATGTGTTCATGGAGCCGTTAATTGATGAGTTAAAACTTCTCTGGGATGAAGGGGTCCAAACGTATGATGCATTTTCCCGTCAAACGTTTAATCTTCGTGCTATTCTTATGTGGACCATTAATGATTTTCCAGCTTATGCTAATCTCTCCGGTTGGTCTACAAAAGGAACATTTGCTTGTCCCGTATGTGGTCCAAACTTTGAAGGCTTTCATTTACAACACAGTAGAAAGATGTGTTATTGGTTTAACAGAAGATGGTTACGTAAAGGACATAAATACAGAGGGAAAAGGTGGGCGAATAAGTTTGATGGCCAAGAAGAGAAAAGAGGAGAGCCGCATGTAATGACTGGAGATGAAATTGTAGAATTATTTGAGGGATATCCTAAAAATAAGTTTGGAAAGAGCCGATATACAAGAGAAGATATTCTAGCTCCAAGACGCATTTCCATTATGAAGAAGGCACCGAAACGAAAGAGAAAAGTGTGCATTACGGATGAGACACGTGATGAGGAATTACCAAAAGGATGGACAAAATTTAGTATATTTTTTCAGCTACCGTACTGGCAAAAGCTAAAAATTCGGCATAACCTAGATGTAATGCATATTGAAAAAAATATATGTGATAACCTGTTGTCCACACTCTTACAGGATGGTAAGAAATCAAAGGACGATTTACGAGCTCGGCGAGACTTGAATGCATTGAACATCCGACATGATCTGCAAGCACGAGAAGTTACTGAAGGCAAATTTGAGTTGCCCTCATCTCGCATTACGATGACAAAGGTTGAGATGCAAAGATTCTGTGAGGTGCTCAAATCGGTAAAGTCGCCAGATGGTTACTGTTCTAATATTTCAAATAATGTCCAGGTGAAAGAGCGAAAAATTTTGGGACTTAAGACTCATGATTATCACATCCTTCTTCACCAATTGCTTCCCGTGGCACTCCGTAACAATATGGCTGATGATGAAGTAGCAAAGGTTATAATTGAATTCTGTGGATTTTTTAGAAAGTTATGCTCAAAAGTTATCAATGTTACAGAATTTAAGACACTAAAAGGAGAAATGAATGAAACCCTTTGCAAAATGGAGTTATTCTTCCCTCCCTCATTTTTTACTATTATGGTCCATCTTACACATCATCTTGTAGATGAGGCATTACTCGGAGGTCCAGTTAACTATCGTTGGATGTATCCCATGGAGAGGTTAGTTAAAATTCAATAAAGTCACTTTACCTAACATGTAATTATTTTATCTTAATAACTAAAGTTATTTTTGTTTTTTTAGATATTTGGGTTTCTTGAAGCGCATAATGCGCAATCGAGCTCATCCGGAGGGTTCGATTGCTGACCATTACGTTGCAAATGAATGCATGTCTTTTGCCTCTCGATATATGCGAGGTGGAGATGCAAATAATAATACACAAATTAGTAAAAGAGATGCCACTTTTCATGGCAGTACCAAGATGAACAAGGATTACTCCAGAATAGACTTGGAACAAGCTCATGCATTCGTCTTGCACAATCTGGAGATCTTTGAAAATTATCGAAAGTAAGTATATTAACTTTAATAAAATTGATAATTTTTTTAATTATATAATTATTAATCTCTTATGTTGTATCAACAGTCGACATTTGTAGGAGTTGCAGTTAGAAATAACTGGGCCGTCAGCACGGAATCAAATTGCCAAAATACATGAAAAAAAATTTTCTGAATGGGTTTCAGCTGAAGTAAGTTTTGTGAATTTTAATTTTAATTAACTTTGAGAAAAATTTAGAATAACTTCTTAACGATCGTTTGTTTATTTTGTTTAACATTAGGTAGAAAGACAAATATTTGCTGGTTTACCAATATCAGAAGAGATAAGAATTCATGCACACGGGCCACACTACACAGTTAAACAATGCAGCGGATATCGTGTGAATGGGTTTTTATTTCAAAAGTTGGGGATTGAGGAGGAGAGAGTTACCCAAAACAGTGGGGTCATGGCTATCTTCTCTCAAGAATGTTATGCAAGCTCGACAGATCAGAATCCAATACTTAATGATCTAATTTATTATGGACAACTAGAAGATATCTTGGAGATGTTCTATGCGTATGGTACAAAAGACGTACGTAGTTATGTGATGTTTAAGGTTCGATGGTGTCATGCTGAAATAACAAGAGATGCATATGGCTTTAATCTTGTAAATCTAGACAAGGAGATTTACTCCGATTTGAAGTTCATGTTTGCAAAGCAGGCTACTCAGTGCTTTTATGTCAAAGATCCTAGACAGCCGAAGGTTTGGGTCGCATTGTATAAGGAGCCGAGAACTCTTGTTGAACTTTCTCTCGATGAAAACATAGAGGGTTCTGATGATCCAAATGAGACTGAAGGAGAAGTTTTTCCTAATTACTCATACCCGCAAAATGTCAATTTTAATATGTATACTCCGCAAAATCGGCTTGATATTCGTAATGTAGGAGATTGAATGTCGAAATATTAGTACTTTTAAAATTTAAAGTATTAACTTTGTCGTTTTAATATATATTTTTTATTTTGTCAATGCAATTTTCAACATTCACTTATTTTGCTTCAATAAATTGAATAATCATTTAAGATGCAGATGAGCCGAAGGATAAAGCGCATAGGGGAAGTTTCCCACAATCAAGCAAATTCATCATCAGGTATAAATATTAATTTGTTCAAATAAATTGTGTTTTTGATATAAATATGCATATTTCGTCACGACCTTATAGTAGTCCATTATCTCTACATGGATCCTCACCCGTTGAAGGTATTAATTTATTTAATATCATTAAGTTAATTGAGAAACTTATTTACCTATATTATTTTTATTACTTTCGTAGATATTGCGGGGACAGATACACATGCATCTCCTATGAGTCCACCTATGAGTCAACGTCATCATCGGGATTCATCGCCTGGTCTAGGTATTAATTTTAATGTCCATGGATATTTTATGTTCCATATAAATATTTATTTCACATTTTATACTGCAGACAATCATCATGATGGATCCGATGATGACGAGATCCAACACGAGTCTTTTGCGAGATCTTCTCAGTCGGAGGTTGAATGTCTCCGTCCATGGACTGAAGCAGTAAATTCCATCCCCTTACCAGAAAAGGCTATCACATTGCAAAAGAAATGCGATAGGAACTATAAAAAAAGGAGAGAAGACATTAAAAACAAGGATAGTATAATAAAGCAGAGACTAGAAAAGGCGATGTCAGATAAGTTGAGGGAAATGGGTAAGAATATCATGTAAAATATTGATCAATCTTCGTTATTTAATTATTGAAGTTTTTAAAAAAATATCTCTCTGTCTTTGTAGGGAACAAGGACTACGAGAAGGCCGGTAGACACGGTAGTGATCTGTTTACGAAGGTACCTCCTAAAGGTTATCGAGCCATTTTGGGGTGGATGGGCAACATTCCAGTTGGAGATTACGCCGTCAGATTTAATAATTTGATCGGTTGTTTAATCAGAGACCCACACCACATTAACATCGCTCATAACTTTGATGAACAACAATGGAATGGAATAAAGAAGATATGGGAGAGGCTCATGGTAATTATTCGTTATATTGTTTTTTCAATAAATATTTATTTAATTTTTTAATATTGCATGTTTTTGTAACACCTAATTTGTAGAATCACTATTGCCTTGAGGACAACCCGGACTCTTGGGATTACGTAATGAGTAGAGCGAGCAAGATGCTTCGGGGGTGGAGGAGTAGACTTAAGAGTCAATACTTTACAGATATAACCATTGATTGGAAGCGGATTCATCAGCTTGATAAGAGGGTTCCTCCTTATAATTGGATGACTCTCATTATCGAGTGGGAGGGCGAGAAGAAGGTGAGTTATTTTTTAATTAATTATATTACCACCACATATACTGAAAAATTACTTTATTTTGAAGGATAAATGTTCGATAGCATCGGCTAATCGCGGTGCAAAGCTATATGATCACTTTCTAGGAGCTACTCCCTACGCTCGGATCGAGCATAAATATTTGCGTGAAAATCCGGTTAGATCAAAATATTAAAACTCAACTCATGTTACTATTTTCATACGTTATTAGAAATAACTTGAAATTTGATTAATCATAGGACGCCTTGACTATGCCGCCAACTCTTCTTGCTAGAAGTGCATATACACCACCCGAGGATCCATGGACTGAAGCATAAATTCCAATCCTTACCAGAAAAGGCTTACCACATTGCAAAGAAATGTCGATAGGAAAACTATAAAAAAAGGAGACGAAGACATTAAAAACAAGCGATAGTATAATAAAGCAAGACTAGAAAAGGCTGATGTCAGATACAGTTGAGTGCGAAATGGGTAGAATATCATGTAAAAATATATCAATCTTCGTTTATTTAATTATTGAAGTTTTTAAAAAAAATCTCTCTTGTCTTTGTACGCGAACAAGGACTACAGAAGGCCGTAGACACGGCAGCTGCATATGTTTACGATATGGTACCTCCTAAAAGTGTTATCGAGCCATTTTGGTGTGGATGGGGCAACATTCAGTTGGAGATTTACGCCGTCAGATTTAATAAATTTGATACGCCGTTGTTTAATCAGCAGACCCACACTACATTAATATCGCTCATAACTTTGATATGAACAAACAATGGAATGGAATAAAAAGATATGGGAGAGGCTCATGGTTAACTTATTCGTATATATTATTATTTTTCAATAAATATTTTATTTAATTTTTTTAATATTGATGTTTTGTAAACACCTAATTTGTAGAATCACTATTTGCTTGAGGACAACCCGGACTCTTGGGATTACGGTACATGAGTTAGAGCTGAGCAAGATGCTTCGGGGGCTGGAGAGTAGCTTAAGAGCGTCAACTTTACAGATATAACCATTTGTATTGGAAGCGGATTCATCGCTTGATAAGAGGGTTCCTCTTATAATGGATGACTTCTCGATATCGCAGTGCGAGGGCCGAGATAGAAGGTGAGGTTATTTTATAATTAATTATATTACCAACACATTATACTGAAAAAATTACTTGTATTTTTGAAGGATTAGATGCGTCGCATAGCATCGGCTAAATCGCTGGTGCAAAGCTATTATGATCACTCTTCTAGGAGCTACTCCCTACGCTCGGAGTCGAGCATAATATTTGCGTGGAAAAATACCGGTTAGATCAAAAATATTAAGAACTCAGACTCATTGTTACTATTTTCGTATACGTTTTTAGAAAACTTGAAATTTGATTATCACTAGGACGCCTTGAACTATGCCCGGCAACTCTTCTTGCCTAGAAGTGCAGTTATACACCAACTCGAGGCTATGATAAGGTGGAAAAGATGACAAAAAATTAAGGATATGCCATGTAAGTTATAAACTTTAATTTCATATTTGCACACATGTTATTTTCTAATTAGAATTCATTAATGTTCGAATTCCATTGTATAGTGCTAATGCATTCATTATCTGCTTAATTATTCATTCATGCTGCTTTCTAAAAACATTCATGGCAAGTGTGGTGGAACAAGTTTGATGTTGTTTGCTGAATTAAGTTATAGCTTGCATCATGCTAAGTTTACATAGATTTTTCCAAATGGCCCAGATATTGCCCTGTGTAAGGCCTTAAATAATGGATATGCTTCCCAGCGAGCGGATTCGGTCATATGCGCCGTCCCTGGCGCGGCCGTGTACCTTTTCCCGTGCCATCTCCCCTTCTCTCGATCCTCTCCATCTCTGTGGGCGGGGGGTGTGGGTGCCCGATGTGTTCTTCCCTTACTCTCACTTGTCGTGTGCCCTGCCGCTGGCGGTTGTTGAGCTATGCCGCGTCGAGAGGCTAGTCCCGCTCGGGTTGTGGGCGTGGGTCAATTGCTTATTCATCGTGTTTCTTTACTTGGTATATACTGGAACTTTCACATTCACTTTTCACACTTTGCTAAAAATTGATATAACATTTCTAACCATATCATATGCTGAATGTAAGAATGCACATAAATATGCATATAAATTTACTACGGAAATGTCGTCATCCCTTCATGTTTAAAAGTTACTGTGTCACACTTTATGACCCCAGGCACTTGATAACCATGTTCCATCCCCGACTAGGAACAGGGACATGCAGTTCACCTTATTTTTTCTAGACTAGTTAGGCTCACTCCAATACTTCTGATCTGAACTTACAGAGATGATCAAAATCTGTGGTCCTTTGTCTTGATACTACTAACATTTAGAACTTTTGCTTAACTAAAATGTGTGTGTGTTTGAGATTTTTAGGGCTTAATTGGCTGTTTTCTTCCGGGTATTTGTAACAGAGTCATGAACTTCAAGCCTAGTTGTGATGTATTTGTAACAGTCATGAACTTAAAGCCTAGGCTGCACGGCTCATATTATACCAGTATGTTTGACGAAGAAGGTAAAAAATGCATGTCCAGTGACATATCTTTTTCTTTCAGAATCATAGCTGAAAAAGGTCGACTATAAATGAAATAAGAAAGTGATCATATAGCTTTGCACTTAATTCATAACATTGTCTTAATTTATTTATTTCTATTGGTTGAGTTCCATTGCTTAAGACTGCCCTAATTTATTTATTTCTATTGCTATATGTTATTTAGGAGGCGCTTGAAGCTTCACAAGACTTTGTCTTGTCCCAGTCTCAGAGCATAGAGAACACTCCTACCGATCCTAATCGCATGACTAGAGAGCAATGGAGGGAAATTGTTGATGGAGTTTATGGCTCTAAACCAATCAAGAAAGGGAGGGTGCCTTTATCAAGTGCAAAAGTTAGGACAGTCTCCACTAGCAGGAATATACAAAACAACACGTCCGTGACCTCAAAGCGACCATGTGGGACATCGTACGTCGTGGCTAAAATTGGACGGTATTTAATGGACAATGTTCAACCCTCCATGTTTTTTCAATTTATTCCCATTATTACGCGCGAGCTAGGGGGTGCACAATCGACTTGGGATGTTGTGCAGCGCCTCAGTGATTGTCCATCGTTGAAGGAGATTCTTCCTGAGTCGATATACTTAGAGATCTTTAAGTTGGCGTTTGCCGAGCATGAAGTTCATGGTGGTGGAGAGGTATATATGACGTGACATATATGTATTTATTATGATATTTTTGGTATATATATATACGTCGTGGCTAAAATTGGACAGTATTTAATGGACAATGTTCAACCCTCGATGTTTTTTCAATTTATTCCCATTATTACGCGCGAGCTAGGGGGTGCACAATCGACTTGGGATGTTGTGCAGCGCCTCAGTGATTGTCCATCGTTGAAGGAGATTCTTCCTGAGTCGATATACTTAGAGATCTTTAAGTTGGCGTTTGCCGAGCATGAAGTTCATGGTGGTGGAGAGGTATATATGACGCGACATATATGTATTTATTATTATATTTTTGGTATATATATATCTTATGTGGAGTGATATTCTTTTCAGAATGGAGGAGGTATTGTAGGGAGCAGCAGTACGATACGACGTTCTAATGCAGACGATGCTGATAACAGGGATGCCGACGATGACGAGGAGTGAGTGAGACTTGTGTTAAGACATATCATGACTTTTGAATTTTACATATATAAAATATATATGTGATTTTATTGCGTAGTGAATGAATATTATTTGAGCATGCGAGATGTATTGTGATTGTGATTATATGACGAGTATTATTCGATATTGTGGATTGACGGATGAAATTGAATGAGTGTGGAATGTGAATGTATATCATGGTTGGTTTTATGATATATTGTTAAATATTGTCATTGGATTGATGTCGATACAGGTTATATGTGTATTCTCTCGTATGGGAGGCTACCGAAAAATTAAATTTTTTTTGCGTAAATATATACATTAGCGACGGGAAAATCCGTCGACAATAAACATTGGCCACGGGGTAATCCGTCACCAATGTTAAAACATTAGCGACGGACTACCCGTCACCAATAAACATTGGCGATGGGGTGATCCGTCGCCAATGTTCAAACATTGGCGACGAGCTACCCCGTCGCCAATGTTTATTGGCGACGGGGTAGTCCGTCGCCAATGTTTAAACATTGGCGACGAATTTCCCTGTCGCCAATAAACATTAGTGACGGGGTGATCCGTCGTCAATGTTAAAACATTGACGACGGACTACCCAGTCGCCAATAAACATTGGCGACGGGGTAGCCCGTCGCTAATGTTTGAACATTGGCGACGGATCACCCCGTCGCCAATGTTTATTTGCGACGGAAGTAACCCGTCGCCAAAGAAATCCGTCGCCAATAGTCGTGCGTCGCCAATAAGTATTGGCGACGGGGCAACCCGTCGCCAATACTTATTGGCGACGGATTTATTGGCGACGGAAATGGGCCCGTCGCTAATATGTATTGGTGATGGATTTTGGGGCATTGGTGACGGATTTCCCCGTCGCCAATGCCCTGTTTTCTACTAGTGAATGTTGGATTTATTGGTCAAAACCGTTTTTCAAAATAAGTTTTAAAACTATATTTTTTTGGTCAATGAAAATTTTTTATTCATTTACCAATTGTGAAATGTACAGTCAAAACACCATAATGCTTGGTAATCAAATCAAAAGAAAAATTTACATTCTCTCAATTGTATCTTTCATATGAGCAGGTATAATTTCATCCAAAATTTTTGAGAAGATGGAGACTTTGATTGCCTGAAATAATATACTTGGCTCCCTAGCTTTTTATTGAAATATCCTTAAATTTCTTTCTTGCCAAATCAAGTAAACTGCTGTTGAGGTTGTCATCATCTTCAAGAATCCTCTTCCTTCAAGTTTAAAGAATACCAGTTTATAATTTGGCTCCAATCACATGATCTCCAAGAATAGCTCATCCACTCCATCAATTTATTCCATATTTCAGCAGTAAACTGACAAAGAATAGATGCCTAATTGTTTTAGGTTGACATCTAGAACAGAGCACACACTGATTTTGATTAACCTCCAGAATACCCATACGGCATAACCTGTCCAACGTGAGAAGTCTGGAGTGGCAAACTAACCATAGAACAAAAGGGTGTTTAGGGTATTGAAACCCTTTCCAGACTGTGCCAGACCAGTCCACTGAAGGAGTAGGTTGAATTAGAGCATAGTACACAGAGGATAGATGAAACCTATCATTTGTGCAACAACCATTGATGAATCTGTGCAGGTTTTCTTTATTGCCAAATTTGTCAAGCACCAAATTTCTAACTTAGAGAAGTTGCTTCCACATCCATGAATCATTCACTTTACTTTGAACTTGCCAGACATTTGAAGTTTGCAAGTAGTTTTCATATATCCATTTGATCCATAGCCAATCTTTTTTCAAGTGAATCATCCATAGGAGTTTAGTTGCAGCTGCAAAATTCCATGCCCTTGCTGAAAACAGACCCAACCCCCCCCCCCCCCCCCCCCCCTTTTTTTTTTTTTGCTTTGACAGATAGTATCCCAGGAAACCATATGAATTTTATGCCCCGAAAGAAACTCAGAGCAAAGTCTATCAAATTTTTCTAAAGCTTTGAATGGTAGGATATAATTGCTGATCCAATAGGTTTGAATTCCCAGAATCATTGACTTGGTAAGTTGAAGCCTTCTCACATAGGATAGTTTCCTTTTATGCTGTCAGGTTTAGAATTTACTTGATATCTTGTCAATTAGAGTAGAACAGTCAAGATAAGTAAGCCTCTTAGCATTCAGTGGCAGTCCCAAGTATTTCATTGGTAATATCCCCTCCGAGAAGCCCAGGTAGTTGCATATCTGAATTTTCAAGCTTTCATCAATTCCACTCAAATACACTGAGCATTTACTAGCATTGGCTTCCAATCCAGAGACCTGACAGAACTCCTGAAAACAATTGTATAATCTAGCAATAGAATTCATGTCAGCTTTATTAAATAAGAGCAAGTCATCTGCAAAGATCAAATGAGTGATCTTTAATCTGAAACATTTAGGATGATACTTGTATATCCTGTCACCCTGTAGAGAGCTCAACTTTCTTGCAAGATATTCCATACCCAGGACAAATAGGTATGGGGATAAGGGGTCTTCTTGTCTTTCTCCTAGCACCATGAAAATAACCATGCAGTGCACCATTAAGAGATAAAGAGAACTTTGGGGAAGTTATGCATTCCATAATCTAGCAAATGACAATACTAGGAAATCCCAGACCAATTAGCATAGCTCTGATGAAGTCCCAACTTATAGTGTCAAAGGATTTTCTCAAGTTAACATTTAGAATAGCTCTAGGGGAAATGTGCTTTCTACCATAATTTTTAATGAGCTCATGAGCTAATAAGAAATTACTAGAGATAAGCCTCCCCTTGACAAAAGCACACTGAGCTTCATTAATGAGGTAACCCATGTGTTTTTTAATTCTGGTAGCAATTATTTTAGTGATAATTTTATAAATCACATTACAGCAAGAGATTGGCCTGAAATCTGATGTTGAAATAGGGTAAAGAACTTTTGGTACCAATGTAATTGAAGTAGTGTTGAAGGAACCAAGAAGTTTACCAGATGAGAAGAACTCTTCAACAGTAAGGAAAAGGTCCTTGTAGGCATCTAAAAATATTTATAGGTTCCCGTATGCAGCTCTAGACGAAGGGGAGACTATAAACGTCATCATCCAAGTCGAGAAGATTTATCCGAGTGGCCCGCGTGCTCACCGGCCACCGCCAAGTGGCACATATGCTTATCGGCCACCGGAAAGGCGAACCAAACGTCCCGTGTGCTCACCGGCCATCTTCAATTGGCCCGCGTACTCATCAGCTAGTTCCAAATAGCACGCGTACTCACCGGCCACCGCCAAGTGGTTCGCACTCTCATCGGCCATCGGAACGACGAACCAAGTGGCCTGCCCGCCCGTCGGCCACCGTCAAGCGATCTACGTGTTCACGAAACACACAAAGGGAATCGGTGAAGCGAACCAGTCAGGTAAACGACAGAATACGCGTAAATGACGTAACAAGTTAAAAAAAATCAAAAAAACACAATACCTGCTGGCGGCCGAGTCATACCAAATCGGACTCGGCCAGGGCCAGTGGCTCAGCCTAGGGCCGAGCCACCAAGTGGTGTCTCAGCCTAGGGCCGAGCCACCAAATGGTGGTTCGGCCAAGACCGAGCCACCAAATGGTGACTCGCGCAAATTTTATCCGAAAACGCGTTTTTGCGGTTTTCGATGAGTTTTCACGGGATTTCTTCTGTTCTAGTGATTCCTAACTGCCTAGATATTATCTCCAAACGTGGTTACACAGTTATTAACTGAAGATAAGGCTGAATCCATTTTTATTATCCGAAAACCCCCAACCGAAGCCTATAAATACAGGCATAAAGGCTCCTTTCACGGGACGAAAATCAAGAGGGCGAAGTGCTGTAAAATTGGAGAGTGAAGCATGAATTTCAGAGGGTTAGCAGATCTTAGCGGAGTTCCTCAGTAAAAGAAAGAGAGAGTTCGAGAGATCTGAAATATATTTTCCCCTTTTCCTTCGGATTAAGCTTAGTCTTAATCTCGAGAAGAGTCGTAATCTCGCTTGGTCGGATCTAATCCGCGACGGTCCACTGACTAACGCGTCCCCGGCATAGGCGAAGTTCCCACGCAAACAACATGAGATAAACTACTGTTGTGTGTAGTTTGACAAGAGTTGTAATCTTTTATTTTCATTGTTTAAGAAGATCTTATAAAAAGATCGTCTTTCCTCTTTTTTCGAACTTGTAATCGATAAACGATTGTAATGAGTTCGTTGGCAATAAAATCAACTTTTGAACCAAACACGCTAGCGATCACATTGGGAGCCGACAACCTTTCTGCGAAGGCTGATGTGTCATAACCTCGGATCCTCATCGTGGTTGAAGAAGAGATCGAATACGAGTTCGACCAGCAGAAATACGAGGTGTACTTATCTTCCTCTTCCAGATCCACCTCTCCTCGTAGGTGCAGGAGGGCCTCCTCGTAGGTGCAAGCACATGCATATAACACTTCTTATATAAATACTAAATAATTGAAATTTTGTAAAATAAGATCAGTATCAGCCAAGTTCCATGCGGACATGCGTAGGACAACATTAAAGCGACATTATTCGAAATGTTACACTATATTTTTTCCTCGTTTATCGTTGAGTATAATAGGGAATAATCATAGTAGGAATAACATCATTACTTCATATATGCCTTCTTATTTTAAACCATCTACAAAGTTAGTTTCCTTCTAATCAACTACTTGACCTTACTTTGCTGCTAACATTGTCCTAAAATTCCAACAACACCTTCGCTTAATCCACATAAAGCACGTGACCTCTTGTTGACGCTCAGCAAGCTTTGCACATGAGATTAAGTGAGAGCATGGCTGAAATTTTCAAGCTTATTTTAGCAGCAAAATGGAGCATGGTGGTTAACTAGAAGAATACCTAATTTTATAGGTGGTTTAGGTATAAATTAGAAATATAAGGTGATTTAAGTAAATTCATCCTGGTTTTCAAAAAAAAAAAAAAAAACCCTAACATGAATTAGTGAATTATCAATAAAGATTGTTCTCTTGTATATGATCACTACAGCCGGAACGATAAATGTAAAATGTATGTGTAGTGACAAGAATATAGATAGCACAAAAAATCAAGTGACATGACCAAAGATTGACAAAAATGCACAGCTAAATGCTTCAAGGTGAGAACACCTAAAAAAATCAAGTGACATGACCAAAGATTGACAAAAATGCACAGCTAAATGCTTCAAGGTGAGAACACCTATCATACATGTATTTATTCCCAAAACTTTGACAAAAATGCACAGCTAAATGCTTCAAGGTGAGAACACCTATCATACATGTATTTATTCCCAAAACTCCCTTTTTATGTTTGCACTGATCCAAAAGTATGCAACTCTTGGAGCTAGAGTTACAGCGGAAAAGACCCACTAAATAGCTTCTCCAAAGATAGAGAAAGGAATGAGAAAGCTTTATTATAAATAAATAAAAAATAATGCACATCATCAGACTTCCAGTAAGAGTTAACTGGACATATGTCAAGAGCAACTAGCAGTCTAGCACCAACAATAAAGCTAAGCCAAGATCAAACAGTGAACAGGTATGAATAATTACTATGCTAACACATAATCAAACACCGATATTTGGGTAGTAGAGTTTCGTAACTTCATCAGGTTCTACAAAGGAGAGATTCTTTACACCTTAGTTCCTGGACCTACAAACACATCAGCTAGAAGCGAAAGCAGATTCCATGGCTTGTAGGATTCTGGGCGTATCAAACCTGAAATTTCTGAAGCTTTTACCTGGACCGATATCAACAGTTTGAGGCTCAGACCCAACTCTCTGTAATGCGTTTTCTGAGCTTGTTCCTCCTCCTGAATTGTTCTTTGCTTTCCAAACGCAGGTCCCTAATCAGGAAGCAAAAGGTGTTTGCTAATTTGAAGCGTACTTTAAATTGTTGTCAACAAAGATATTTACACAATGAGTTAATTGCAGATACACCCCTTACACTAGGAGTGTGTAGCGACTTAGGACCCCCACTATTTTGTTGGCGCCGATTGTCCCTGAACTCAAGATGGTATTATTTCTTGCATTTGGTTTAAATGACATGTGAGAATCACATGACTATAAATTATCTTTGCTCTTAGTTTAACTGAAAAGAGTAAATTACCATGAAAATTGTGGGGAAAAAAATAACACCGCCTAGGTTCAGGGGTGTAAGTGCTATACAATAAAAGGTATGTAATTCTATGCCCATATTATATGGGGTGCATTTGCAATAAACACTTAAGAATTAAGTTTTCTAACTGGTTGACTTTATCCAGTCAGATTCAGACAGTAGTTTGTTGTTATAAGCATATCTCTTTCACGACACAGAAGCTAAGGAACTACACAACTAACCTCTAGTAGATGAATCAGATTTCTGAGCCACTGGAGGAGGATGACTAGATATCCACGATTTTAGAGACCTGTGGTCAATACATGAAACAAAAGAAAATTAGAATTTAAAGCAATGTGAAAGAAAGCAGGGTTTTATGTTTGCGTCTGCTGAAGGTTTGAGATATACTGACATTAAAAAAGGTGCAACCATGTAAAGCTTTAATCCATTTATTCCCCGTGACATTGCATCTTCCCCTGCAGGTTGAAGTTCATCGAGTCTATGCCATGAAATCTCCTGCAGGAAGCATTAAAATATGTTTTAACTAAAAACATGTAGCATGTGTGCACTGTTGTCCTAGAAACAAACTACAGCTTTATCTATGAGATTTTGAGAGTAGCATTGTGGAATTAAGAATGAGCAAAGTGTTAAATAGTAGGATAGTATAGATTCTCATTGAGTGAAAAAAGCTACAACTACACCCATGCCTAAATATAGCAGAGGTTTTATGCGAAAGCAATGTGAGGATAATTTGTTGGGTTAGAAATTAATTATATTTATGAGTTTGAGCCCATGGCAAAAGTGGGTTCGTAGATAGAACCCATCATGGGCAATTACTCTTTTACCTGTAGAGATGAATTATAGGATTGATTATGTCACTATTTTAGGAAGATGGACCCATTGATGGAATAATATGTTTTGGTCTTTATACAGGAAATCATAAAATGACATTTTTGGGGAAAGCATAGGGTATGTATCAAGAAGCATATAAATCATTTTGACAATATTATATATTGATAATTAATGACCTTATTTGAGATTTGATCATGATGATTGTGGAATGATTTATAGGTTGCTGATATACATTGAGGAATAAGATCAATTACGAATAGTTGAAAGTTTGCTCTAGACTTTTAAGTAGACAAGATGGTGGGATGACACATTTCATCTAAATGGAGAAGTGAAATTGATGAATGCCATGAATAACTTTCAACTCCTCATAATTGATGATTTATTCAATCAATTACAAGGTGCTCAACATTTTTCCAACATAGACTCAAGATCAGGGTGGTACTGTCAATTGAAAATTAAAAAAAGTAAACTCTAGACTAACCAATCTAGACTTCTAGCACCAACTTATTAGATATTACCCTTAAACAACCAAACAAACTACTTCAGAAAAAATCAAATGCTAGATTCAAACATCATTGATAACCACAACTAATTACAACTCCAAACATCAACAAGCAACTAGAACAAACAATTCCAAACTGCGAACCATCTCTAATCAACAATAACGAAACACAAGCAACTCAGAATGATCCATCAACATTAAAGAAGAAAATCAAAGAAACCATACCGAATCTGTCCTGGTGAGGTGATCTATGGTTGCGGTGGACTAGGGGCGGTGGTGGCACCCCCATGGGGTCCGCAACAAGAGGGGGTGGGGGCGCATGGCAGAAGAAGGCAGATGATGTCTAATGTTGGTGAGGCCAGGGTTTTAAGGGAGAGGCTACTAAAGTTTTATTTTGAGAACCATGTCTATGATACAATGTTAAATACTAGAATACTGTAGACTATCATTGAATGGAAAAAAAAAGCAACAACTACTCCCTATATATAGAGATAGAAAAACAAAGAGTTCTGTGTGTAGGCAATATCAGAATACAATCACATGATTCACATGCCTTCTCCTACTACACTTAGTACTTCTAGAAATTCTAGAAAAAAGTACTTCTAGAGAAAACAAAAAAGAATTGCTTTTGTACTAAATTAACATTTAACTTAAGAGCAGTTCTATATGTAAAAACATGCTGCAAATTGTAGTGCTCCATGGAAGTTTTTCAATAGAAGCAAAATAGGTTGACTTCGAGAGTATAGAGAACATTATGAAAGACTTACACTGATCTCCTTTTTGGTTAGAGGTGCAAAGACAGTATCTTCCTTCACCCCACTAATTATGTAGAGTCTAACCCTCTGCTGGCCAATTACAACTTCAATATAATCATCCATTTTCAGAAGTTTAGAAACATCACATCCTGTTTCCTCCAAAACCTGTATCAATAAGTCCAATCATTATAACAGGCATAATTCATCAGACGAGTTGGATGGCAAAAAAGGGTGTTAGAAACAGAAAAGACACAAGTTCACCAGAAAATCATTCAAAATTTTCATGAGAATCTTCAAATCAATAAAAATATCAAAAAAGTATAAGTTTTGGTTCAAGATAGCCTAGGCACTTAAGAACATAAGTTCTTCTAAATGTCATATAACAGGAAACTGGGTTATACGGCTATCAGTGAGTGATGAAACATATAACTTGTACTTGATGGATTTTACAGATTATTTTTTGCAGAACTGCTATTTCAAGCTATGTGATTGATCTTTTATGCAATTCCTTTTTTCCGCCTACTATTTCAAGCCTATTAATATTTTATATATTTATTCCCAACTTCAAGAAGAACACCACCCCTTCCCATCCCTGCTCAGAGAACAGCATGAATAATGCAGCACTTGAGACTAGTTATGCAAATTATATATAATGTTGGAGTAATTGGAAAGAGAGAATTGTGAATTTTATTTACTTCTCGGACAGCACATGTATGATCTTCCTCGTCTTTGCTCTTTTTACCACGAGGAAAACTCCAACTTGCACTGGATTTCCAGCCTTTTACAAGCAAACACTGCAAACATAAGCACAAACGTTAATTGCAAAGTTGTACTCCAACCAGGAAACAGAAAATTTTTACTTTTTAAGCAAAAGCCCATACAACCTCTTCATATAAATATCATATTTTCCCACTTAAGAATTAAAAACCAAAAGTCTTCAGAATCCTAGCTAAAGACGTGCCAATACTGGGAAGCTAAAGAGCATTTACGAGTAGTAAGTATACTAGAGAAATTAGGAAATTTGTTTAGTCCCATACTGGGATTATGCAATTGTGTTCTATTTACTTTATCATGAATAGAACCTAGTTATCCCTCTTTGGATCAAGTTACTTTCCAACATAACAAGCATGTTTCATTTTCAAACATTTCCCTAACCAGTAGACTGCTTGTTCCCTTGCAGCTGCTTGATACTGGAACTACTATGAATAAGCACCAACATATAAACTGCCCTTATATGTAAGCTCCTCTACCATTCAGCTCGCACAGTCTCACTGTGATTCCTGATCAACTAAAAGCAAGAATGCAATACCCATACTCCAGTGATTCGAAAATCAGGGATAACATTCACAAGATAGGGTTTAATAGCATATCCCTAATGCATCATTTGAAGTCACAATTGGAAGCTTGTATACATAAGCTTGGTTCAAAACTTGATGTCATGATCTAGGTTGCATGGGTACGGGTACGGGACACAACAAATTTGTAAAAGATAGGGTATGGGACACGACTATATATATGTGTGTTATGTACATTTATATGTATTAAAATTAATAATTTACACAAGCTCAATATTATTTTTTTCATTCATATAAGATCAATATATAATATATAGATGCAAAGTGTAGAATATACATCCAAGAAGTGCATAAGGAGTGTTTTAGATTAAAACATCTATTATATAATTGAGTATAAGCCCGAAGAAATATATTCATATATTCAAGAAGTGTCCAAGAGGTCTGGGTACGGCTAGGGGTACGCGTACATGTCAAGTACGGCTACGGCTTCCTAATAGAAGTACCTAGATATCACAGGTCATGACTTTCTTTGCTTCCAGTTGCAAGTTTGAAGTAATAAGAAAGGACAACACTCACAATAGCAATTAAGTCAGCATTACAACAGAGTACAACAATCCAATTTTAATGCATATCAAGTTGAAAGGAAAAAGACAACCAAACACAGTGAGGCTCTCCTTAATATAAGCATTACCATCACATTCAGGTCTTGTTGTACTAACACGCCTTCAAGATATGCACATATTTGTATTTCATTAGGGAACTAAAGGGTTATCATCATCGTCTACTCCATGAAAATACGAGAAAGGCTTAAGCTGGGAAAACAATACCAAAGAGTTCTTAAGTTCGACCTCCCACCAATCTTACTGAACTGATGACAAATTCCGCACAATGCAAGCAACTAAGCATAAGAAAGAGATGGTACTATGATAAATAGTTAATTCACAGATTAGAACCAGCCTTGAAAGCATAAGTGAATATGGTCCTATAGTAAATGGTCAGTTCGCCGATGAAACCAACTCATGAAAATAAGGACCAAACCTCCAAAACACCCTAAGGTAAGAAAGTGTCATGACAAACATGCAACATATAAGTTGATACATCTTGTTACATTGAAATCACATTCATTGTTAACAGCTAGTACAATCCTAAAGGAGTAAAGGAGAAATTTAAGCCATAGAAATGAGGTATGTAGAGACCAAGATGCTAAAATGTAATATAGTCAATATTGTTTTCTGTTTAGGCCAATATAGTAGGAACTAGGAAGAGTAAGAGGTAAATGAAAATTTGATTCAAATATCTAAGCTAGGTATGAGAGCTAGCGCAGGCAAAGGACATACCCATTAGCCATGATCAATATACAATCCAAACGTGAAAATAAATAATTTTTTGTTTACAGCAGCACTGTAAAAGAACTGTATTCAGTCAAGTAGGCCAAACACATTAAATGAAAATCAGCATTTTGCCATAAAAGAGTGGGACACAAGAGTTGGAGTTTGTCATGGGAAAAGGACTTCACTTTTGAAAGCACTACAAAAAGCGTTGATCAAGTTCATCTGGTCTGCCAGACTCGACATTGACCCTCTTAACTAGGTAAGACAACCATGTATCCAATAGAAAAGGCTTAATGTTCACTAAGCATATGGGAGACCTCCATCTTCAAGTCATGAAGACCCAGTTCATCTAACAAAGGAGTAAACCGTTAAACACCCCTACAGTGGAAATAATCTTGATAAATATGTAGCTTTACATATTTTGCTAAATGAAAGCATCTATATATTTACCATCCACTACAATCCAAATGGCCAAACGAGACGTTTATGACATTACCAAGATGCTAGCATGTTAGTCACAAAATAACTTTCCTACATAAGCTAATATACTAGCAAGAGGAGGAAGAATGTACTCAAAGTTTTACTTTTAAGATGTGAGCTTGCATATAAAGAACGGATATGATATGAAAACAGTATTCATTAAACATGACTATTATACAAAACTAAATGGTACTTCAGAGCATCAAAATGTAAGCAAGCAGGCTCACCCTTTCATAGGTCTCATCTAATATGATTGCACCCGTCACCGGAACCCGAAACTTGTACGAGGTAAAATCCTTATAAATGTCATCAATGTGCGCAATATATGGCCTCAAAGCAGCGCAACTATTAAACACTATTAACTCGCTAAGGAAACAAAATAACAACTCAAATTTCTACACACCAACGCTAAAATAACAACTATGCCAAGGATACTGAGGGATGTAAATTCCTTGAAAGAAAGCGATTTCAGCGACGGATTTTGCTCGACGGAGTTGTCCTCGTAAAACCAGTGGGCTTGCTCCAGGAGGAATAAGATCCTCTCGAACGATTCAAGGTCCTCTTTCGGAACGTTGAGGACGAACCGGCTGTGATAAATAATCCGAAAGCTTTAGTATGACTGGGGGGGGGGGGGGGGGATCGAATAAAACTGTGGAAAATTATGAGAGAGTGACCTGCAGAGATCTGACGAGAGCTCTTGAGGCGAATTGATTCCTCATCGAGCGCTCGAGATCGATTCAGTCCCGCCGCCATGATGCTGACGAGGCAAGGGGAAATAGCGGGAAAATAACCCTAATTTTGGTTAGGAGAAGGCGGCAGCGGCGAGATTTGGGGGTGAAGTATATAATGAAAATATCTTTAATTAAACTTAAAGTTCCCAAGTTGACCTCTTTAGGGGATGTTTGGTTAAGGGGCTGTTTGTTTCACCAAGGATTATGAATAGGATTAGGAATCCTATTTAATTTATGGATTCCAATCTAATCCATAAAAATTTTATGGACAAGTTTGAGTTTTATGGAATCTCACTTTTTTGGCTTTTAATGTTTGTTTCACCCAAAGGATTAGTAATCCCACTTTTATAGAATTAGTCCAATTCCTAATACCATGTCTTGAATCCTCTAATAAACTGTTTTCTTTCATTACTGCAGCAAGTTTAAAAAAGACACTCGGTCTCATTCTAATGTAAGACCGACAACTATCACTATAGCCTTCCAATACACGTTTGAAGTGAGCTTCTCTGCAATAAATTTTTTGGATTTTTTCCTCCTTCGTACAAGATGAAATTCTCTTGCGCTTAGCACGCATTCTCAGAATACATGTTATTATTATGACCACCGCAGACACAGCTGTATTAGCACACATCCTCTTCAATTGTTCTTCATCTACGTTATCCATCTAAATTCATTGTAAAATTAGCATATATTTACAACTTAACAGTAATATTGTTTGAAAACTAAAGATAAATAAATAACTAATAAAAATATTAAAATCATAAAACCATATATCTACATATCCACAAATATATATAAAGTAGTGAAACTTTCATTTCATATTTTGCACCCTAAGCATGCACGCTGATCAAACAAATGTAATTAAGTTTTCCTTTCCATGGTTTAGTCATTTGAAATTCTACAACAACAACAAGCCCAGAGAACCAAAGCTCACTAATCAACTATATACCAAAACCCCACAGACAAATAGATGCCAAGCAGTTGCGAATGAAACCCCACTAACAAATAATTCTAATAAAATCAGTAATAAACTATATACCCACATCAAACAACCACCGAACAATACCCTTGTTTCAATAATTAAACATATACCAAATTTAATAATTCCACTACCAATGTTACTTTAATCAGAGCAAGCACAATTAAATAATCAAATTAAAAGGGTTAAATTGATTTATACCTGCAGATGCCAAGCTGTTGCGAAGGGAAAAATTCAGAAATTGATGTCGTTACCAACAAACCCCACCGGACGGAACAACCAGCAAACCGAAGAACCCAACAACAATATCAAAGATCAGCGGGAGAAGAACAGCATAAAAAACCCAGAAATTGATGTCGTTACCAACAAACCCCACCAACCAAAAACAATATCGAAGAACAGCGGATCGCGGGAGAAGCCGAGCCCAAAATCTAGGGCAAATCCACAAACTGAAACCCAAATAATATCGAAGAACAACGAGAGAGGAGGCGCGAAGGAACTTGGGAGAGGCGGGAGAAGAAACGCCCAGTTGCGATTCCAGAGCTAGGGTTCGAAATCGAGAGGATTAGGAATCAGAAAACGAAAACAGTGGCAAATGTTAGATTTCTCGCCCAAATCCTCTCCCCCCCCCTCCGATTTCTATTTCTTGAAAAAACCACGACTGTAGCAACTTTATGGAATACGTAATCCATAAATTTTTCCCCAGCCAAACTCTAGATTAGGATTCACAAAGATTTCATAAATTACACTTTTGCCACTATCAGACCCCTAATACTAATCCTTTTCTATAAAAGTGTGAAACAAACAGCCCCTAAATAGTGGCAAGAATAAGATTAGGAATCCCATATTTTTTTGAATTCCTAGCTAATCCATAAAAAAATTTAAGACAATTTTATGTTATCATGAAATCTTTTTTTTTTATTTCTATGTTTGTTTCATAACATGAAAAAATAGAATTCAACTTTATAGAAACCTCAAATTCATATTCTTTAGTTTGGTTTGAAATGAGAATAGGATTTGATCTCATAATAATATAGTGTTTGTGAAGAAACAGAATCCGAAAAAAAGAGGGAGAATAGTACAAATATGTCAGCTTGCCCCAAATCCGCCCAAATCATTAGACTTTTAGTTTCTATAAAATCAGCATACTTTTTTAACTTTATAGATTCTGAAATATATAAATTTTTGGGGAACCATACTCAAGAATAGGATTCATAAGGAATCTTTTATTTATATTTTTGTCATTGTCATGGTCAAATCCTATTCATTTTACATAAAAATGATGAAACAAACAGCCCCTTATGCTAATCACCGTTTTGGGTCATCCCAAAGTGACCTCGCTCTGCTCTCAAGTTAGTAAATAGTTGGATGCATTAATAATAATAATAATAAATTTTGACCCTTTTTTATAAATTTGAAAATTAGAAAATTTTAAAAAGTTAAATAGAAGAGCAAATTAATGCATACAAAATAATCATCAAAATCTTTATACAAAAATCAATATTTTCGTGCAGTCTTTATGATGCATAGTCATTTATTTAAATTTATTACCTTCTCTCACTTACATATACCTTGTTCATCTAGAGGCATAATCTTTAATTCATGATATTGTATGAAATTGTGTTTCTCATTTCTTATAAATATGACTTGATTGCTCTTAAAAGCCCCATAGCTTTTCTTACTTGCACCTATGTACCCTCACTTATATTTGGTATTACTTATATAGCTTAAGTTTTTTAAGTTTGCACTTTACACCCACCCACCCACCCACCCAAAAAAAAAGGGAAAAAATCTCATTTGATAATTATGTACTAAAATTAAAATTTTAAACTTTTACTATATGTTAAATTTAATATAAAAAATATCAAAATCCTATTTAAAATAAAAGTAGAGTAGATTCAAAATAGAATTATAGTAGTTTTAATATTAAATTTAACAAAAGATAAGAGCTAAAATTTTCTAAAATTATTATGGAAGTCCCTCATATGATAAATTTCAAAGAGAATTTTCCACATTTATATAACTGAGAGCATTAAACTGTTAATCTTAAGAACCTTATTATATAATATATTAAGAGCAAGTCCAGCAAGCTCCCAGTTAGGAGTCCTAGTCAGCAAGCTCTCAAGAGCTCTCAAGCATTTTGGTATAAAAAATTATTAAAATAGGCCTTGGGAGCATCTCCTTATTTTATGGAGCTCCAACAAGCTCCTAGTTAGGAGCTCCAACAATATCAAAAAAACCCCTCTTCTATTTTAATATTTTACCCATTACTTTTAATTATATTTAAACCTCTTGTATTTTATTTCTAACCGTTGGATACGGCCTTCGAGGGAGCTCACACGGTCTTCGAGGCAACCCACGGTCTTCGAGGGAGCGCACACGGTCTTCGAGGTAACCCGCGGCTTTCGAGGGAACGCACACGGTCTTCGAGGTTGGGCACGAACTTCGAGGTATCGCAAACTTTGACCGTCAACCGACTGATTCCTATAAAATCCGATGCCTTCTCACCTCAACCCATCGTCTCCCAGAACAAAATGTCTAGCTCATCTAGCTCTAGCGATGATGAAATGATGAAGACGTTCTTTATTATGGGAGCTGCTGTCGTCGAGGAAGAAGAACAAGGGAAAGATTCAACTTCAGTTCAACACAAAAGACGTATCGTGCTCCACCGATACCGACTGGAAGGCCACAATCGGTTGTTCCAAGATTATTTTGCTGACACACCAACATATCCTCTTCATTATTTTCGTCGACGATTCAGAATCTCGCGTTCGTTATTCCTTCGAATCCACGACGCTGTCGTCGAACATGACAAGTACTTCGTCCAAAAGAGGAATGGTGCTGGACAGTTAGGACTATCTAGCCTTCAAAAGATTACTGCAGCTATGCGGATGCTCGCATATGGAGCATCCGCTGACGCCGTTGACGACTACGTTCGGATCGGTAAAAGTACGTCGCTTGAGAGCGTGAAGAGGTTCGTTCGATCGATTATCAACATCTTTGGGGAGGAATACCTTCGTTCACCGACTAATGAAGACGTTGCACGCCTGCTCGAGGAAGGCTCACAACGAGGTTTTCCTGGTATGCTTGGGAGCATCGACTGCATGCACTGGGTATGGAAGAACTGTCCAACCGCCTGGCAAGGTATGTATACTGGGCATTTTCATGAACCTACAATTATTTTGGAGGCCGTAGCTAGCAAAGATCTTTGGATATGGCATGCCTTCTTTGGACTGCCGGGGTCTCACAATGACCTCAACGTGCTACATCGTTCACCGGTTTTCGCACAACTTGCGGAGGGAAGAGCTTCACCGTGCAACTATACTGTTAATGCCCACGAGTACAATATGGGATACTATCTCGCCGACGGGATTTACCCAGAGTGGTCCACATTAGTGAAGACTATTCCAGCATCGCGAGGAAACAAGCATAAATACTTTGCTCAACAACAAGAGAGCGCAAGAAAAGATGTTGAGCGAGCTTTTGGCGTGTTGCAAGCTCGATTTGCGATTGTTCGTGGACCAGGACGTTTTTGGCAACCTAGTGTGTTGAAAGACATCATGACAGCTTGCATCATAATGCATAACATGATTGTTGAAGATGAACGAGATTGTCAATTGGACAACAACTTCGACTTTAATGATTCGATACCAGTCGTTGAACCTTCTCATGTGCAGACGGTGCCTCTAACTGAGTTCATCCAAAATCATCATCGGATCAGGAACACACAAACACACAAATCACTAAAGAATGATTTGATCGAGCATCTGTGGCAGCTCAAGGGATCCATCGACGAGGATTAAGTTTCTTTATGTCTAATGTAATTTCAGCAAAGAAGTTCGAGTTGTTGTATTACGCCAATTTTCTTTTCAATGAAGCAGTTGTTTTCATTAAATGCCAAAATTTTCAACTTCAAGTAGAATCATAAATCTAATACAAGATAATTAGGAAGAGCTAATTAGGATGCGATGCGAGTACAATCATAAATCTAATACAAGATAATATATGATAATTAGGCAGAACCCTTAGACATCCACCTCTCCAATATCTCTGCCTGACGCATTTCAAAGTATTGTCGTTGAACTGAATTGAGTGTTGAGAGATCCATCTTCATGATATCGTCATCTTGTTTCTTTTGTTTTAGCTCTATTTTTTGATTTGTGATTTCCTTCATCCACGCGAAAGCCTCTCCCATGATGGACTTAGCGGACTCAGAGTTTTTCATATTTTGTTTCCTCTTGAGCTTTGCCGCTTTCCTCCCTTCAGACCTTGCTATAACATCATCCGAGGCCGTGTTCAACTCGATGAGGGTCGCTGGCATGGAATTGTTTGGTGAGGAATCAGAGTATGTGGTTCTTCTCGGCTGTGATCGAATCTTATTGTAAGTTTCCATTTGTTGGATCCACTTTTGATGATGACGCAACTCAACCCAGCAATGGTCAAACACGAATGGCTTACCATAAAGAGATTGGTATAATTCTTTTACTTCTGCAGTCTACACAAAAGTTAATTTTAGAATAATCAAACATATTGAATCTGAGCAAACATAATCAAACATAATTAAATATTTACATGGTCAATAATTCCCGTACCAGATCTTTGTCTTCCTTCAATCTGAGCAACGCACCCACAAAACTTGTTGACGGACAATTGAATCGTTGACCAACGATGCATCATTTGGTTTGGCGTGCGGCTCGTTGGATCGGTGGAGTATAGGATAAAATAGTCGTTAGCTCGGTGCTAAAACTTATCTTTGTGTTGCCCCGTACCTTGGATGGCGTCTTGGCTCGTGTTCAGCCAAGCGGACACAAGAAGCTTATCCTCATGGACAGTCCAATTTTCGGACCGCGTGTAAGCCTTCTTCTTCTTTGTGGTCGGTGTTTCTTGGGATGACACTTGTTGTGTTACGGATTGCGATAACTCGATGGGGTTACCTTCTTCTACGACTTATGTATAGAACGGCGGGTATAAGGTCGATCCTTCACCGGTAAGGAGGTGCGAATAATAGTTTTGTGAGGGATCCATGAGATTTGTAATTTGATAGGGAAATATAGATTTTTTTTATGAGAGAGTTGTGTGGAATGATTTGTGTATTGAAGTAAAACGAATTTATAGAAGATTTTTTACAACGGTAACTTTTTCAACGGCATCATTTTTTAATGGCTGAATTCTGGATAAGCTTCTTGTGTCGGTGTTTCATACAACGGTAAAATTTCAACTCAAGAGGTCACAACTCAGCCAATTTAAAAAAAAATCCCAAATCAAAACACCAAATCCCAACCTCAAACAACGCACCCAAAAAAAAACACTTCATCTTCTCCCAAATCCCAACCTCAAACAACGCACCCAAATAAAAAAAAAACAAAACACTTCATCTTCTCCCCAAACCCCACCCCCAAATCCCACCCCTTCGACAACCTCAAACAACGAACCCAACCCCACCCCTTCGACAGTCGGAGGCCTCTTCGCCACCATCATCCCGCCTGATCCCACCCCGTCTCATGCGGAGGCCGCAATCGAGGCCACCCAGCCACCATCAGTCTCCGATCCCACCCCGAACGCCACCCTCAATGCTCCAGCGAACGCCAATCATCCTCTAACGCATCATCTCGACTAGTGCATTGACGGGGTTTTTGTAAATTCCTTCTCACAGGTGGGCGAGCTCCCAACGTCCAAACATTTTGGGAGCGCTTGGGAGCTCCGAAGCTCCTCCACCGCCACGTCGGACTAAGGAGAGGGGCTTGGGAGGCCTTCAGAGCTTGCTGGAGGGGGGGCTGCCAACTTCCACAGCCACATCAGCCTTCAGAGCCTCCTTCAGAGCTTGCTGGACTTGCTCTAATACTGTAAAAAACAAGTGACGGTATGTAAGTGCCTAGAAGGGGGCACTATATTCTATTTAAAAAGTGCAATAAAGCCATGCCCATGGGGCAGGCGAGAGGCCCATGGGAATAGGGCGCCAATTAATTAAAGAGAAAGAGGAGGGTAATTTCGTCAATGAAGTTAGCTTCAACAAGACTTTTCTAATTCCCCTCTTCTGTAGAGTGGTGAGTGAGAGAGAGAGAGAGAGATCACCGAAAACCAAACTAAATTCAATTCAAAATTCAAATTCAAAGAAAATAAAAAAGAAAAAAAAATGGGGGTTCGAAGAAAAACCCTAATTCTCGGATTCTCTATCGCTCTCTTCTTAGGCGTCGCCGTCTACTTTCGCCTCTGGTCCATGGATTCAAGGGACGCCTCTTTCACCGCCGACGATCGAGAAGTTCTCAGGTCTCAATTTTATTTCTCTCTCGATATTTGATTTATTATGTAAAAATATTTGAAGCTTTGTTCGTTGACTGAAGGCGGCAATTTGAGAGAGCAAATATGGAAGCAATGGATGAATCTGCGGGGTGGAGAATGAAGTTCGATGGAGAGTACGAGAGGAGTAAGAGGTTGCAAGAGGAGTTGTCTAAGGTAAAATATTTCTATTCTTCTTCTGTTTTTCAAATTGCCTTTACCAACTGAAAATTTGCATAAAAAACAAAACTTTTGCATTCAAACCCCAAAAAGTTGTAGACTTTGATGTTATTGTTGAATGTGTTCATGGAGATGGGGGTTTCAATGGAACACATTGAATCTGTGATTGCATTTCTTTTTCGATGAGAAGAAATATTGCTTTCAGTCCCCAGAAAGGTGAAAACTTTGAGGTTTTTGTTGAAGCTTTTACGTTCATTGAGATGCAAGTTTCAGTTGTACACATTAGACCTATGTAATAGCATTCCTTTCTTCTAATGGACATTGGAAACGCCAATCTTTGTATTCAAACCTTGGAAAGTTGTAAACTTTGAAGCTTCTGTGTTCGTGGAGACGGAAGCTTTGGTTACACACATTGAACCTTCAGTAGCATTTCTTTCTTCTAAGGGGAAGAAACATTGCAGAACCTTATCACTTATAACAAGTGACCTGTTGCAGAACATTGTCAGGGAGAATGAGATCTTTCTAGGTACTTTGTAGGGTTCAATTTCTCGTCTTATAGGCCATAAAGATTTTCACCGTGGCTATGAATTAGAGCTCGATTTCTAGGCTTATAGACCATAACGATTTTCACTTTGAGTAGGACCAAGTAACCATGAGGCTTCTATCAGCAATGTAGACCATCTAGCTCATTCCTGTGGAAAATCCCTCTCGTTGTCCATGGAGCCATCGAAGCATACAAGGAGGATTTGCAAGTTACTAGAACTTCTGGAATTTGCTAACTTGTTTTCACACTTTCTATTATACAGCAGCCTAATAAAGTAATCTGACGCACAACAGGACAAATGAAAATGCTAATGCAAATGAGAACTATCAATAACAGATGAAACCATCAAGAAACCTATTGAGTGTATGCAAGTAAGCGTGAATGCAAGCTCCTAACGGTTCAGCCTAAGGATGAATGCAATTTTATATGATGCAACGTGGCGGTCTGTTAAATGGGATCCACAAATATGACAGTAACCAGTGATGATCATAAATCAGCTACAGAATTCTTTAGAGATGCGAGAGTGGATGACTGAATTGAAAATGATGTTCAGAGGTCACTTGAGGAGTGAGGTAACTCACATACACGTATTCAGATCCGAACTGAATTTGCAGGTCGATGATCCTCTTGCAGTAGAGTGAGAAAGTCCACGGTATAGAGGAGTCAACAGGTTTAGCAAGCACTTGCAAATAATCAAGACTGTAGTCGTTCCCAAGGGAACAATCCAAAGACAAACAATAGCTTAAAACCTAATGAACTGGTTATCCTCAATGGGAGTCCATGCAACGTCGATGAGGACTCGAGGATTAATTTATGATGATCAGAGGAGGGGGTGGTGATTGCTGATGGCATCGTGGTCAAAGAGAGATGCGAGGATCGTCGTTGGTTGTTGGTTGTGGTTGCAGAGGGCTGAAGTTGCGGGAGTTTTTGATAATACGGGCTTCACACCCCAGACTTTACACCCTCAAATAAGCAATTCACGTGCCAAATCAAATCTCAGAATTATAATCTCCAAATAATCCGCCTTTCTAAATAAGCCTTATAATCTTATTTAAGGAAAAAACAACTCAAAAGATCAGATTAAATCTTCAAATCCTATCAATAAAATGAAACTAAAATAAAAATTTCTGACAAATAAAATCTAAGATATAGAGAATAAATTTAGAATCAATCATATCATCCTAATCTTATCACGTGCTTTTTTCTTCTGGAATATACTTTCTACGGATTCCCATCAACTGTTCGGCTTTGAAGCATTCACCTGTGGTGAATGACAACAATGATATAAGCGTCTGATGCATCCGGATTGAGCTACTCAATATCCCCTGTCCGTAGTCAAGTGCAATCTCAATCAGGTCACCCACGCTACAGACCAAATACCTCTGAAAAGCACTGTTTGTTGTGGATATAATAGTCCTGTAGGATCTCCTCAATCACCTCTAGTGGACTTCAACTGCATATGTGGTGGAATTAGAATCT